TGAACCTTTCCCCTGAACAAGTCAAACTTACGAAGTAACTTAATTTGTGTAATACAGTCTTTGATCAACCTTGACATTTGATTCTGATTCTTCTTGTGCTAGTTTTACATCCTCTGTGCTGCTTTTTCTTCCCCCTAAGAAAAAAAAGAGCTGCTTAGTCTTTATGACATCGAGTGTGGCAGGTTAAAATGATCTCCCAGTGTTTGTTAGTCTAGATCTTGAAAACAACTTGTACTAGATCAGAAAACATTCAATCAAAGGAAAACAGAACCAGATAAAAATTTCAGCTAAAAATCAACTTGTGCTCTCCCATTTGCTGCTTCGTGAAACAGAAATTTGGCGTAACACGCTGCTCTCCCCTGAGGAGAGAGACTGGGACGTCTTACTGTGCTTTCCCCTGTTTATCAGTGCATTTTTTTATAGTGTCATACTTAAAATAGTGAGGATTCTGTTGAGGATTAAGTGGAGAAGGAACTGGAAGGGCGCCCTGGCTGGTCCTGGTGGATTTATCCTGGAGGAGGATCCCACTTCCACCTGCTGGGAGCAACAGCTCCAAATACACCTAAAGCCTGAGCTTTCAAATCTGGGCATCCAGATTTTCCTAGAAAGCCTCATCTCCCAAATCAGCAGTCAGAGAGATTCAACATATTATGTTTTTCTTTTTTTTTTTTTAAATAAGGAAAAACAATAAATCCTTTGAAGAACTCTGGTATTTCACTACAAGTTCCTCAATGTGCAGAGCGGCATCATTGGGAATATTGCCTGTGCTTATAAAAGGGCATGGAGTTGCCTATTAACAGATTTTAAGTCATCTTGTTTTCCATTTTACTTCCTTGCCATAAGAGAGTGAATATTTTTCTTTAAAAGAACCATTTAAGTGACAAGTACAGAAATCTAACTTGTGTTTTTGAAAGGGATGTAGCAGAGAATGCGGTGCTTGTGAGATCTCTTTCCCAAGTGGCTCTGTTTTTGCGAAAAATCCAATAAACAGCAGAAATGTGCTTGTTTCATGTGTAATAAACTATTGCCAGCAGCTGAGGTCTGCCAGAACTCAACTGTCGGGATTTTGGAGAAGGGAAGCTGATCTTCCCATCTGCCATCTCCTAATTAAGAGCCTGATTCCGATGGTATTGATGGTACATTTTGTCACTGGAGAAATAAGAGTAGGGCTAAATTCTTAGTTTGGGAGATCCATAAATATTTAAAGGGCTGTTTGATACAGGCGGTCAACATCTGCAAACCTCCTTATGTTTTGACGGGGACCTCTCTCAGCAGAACTGGTCCCCAAAGCCTTGTAGATCCCATAGGATCTGCGCATGGGAAATCCACACATCAGGAATGCAAGAAAGCTTTGAGGTGGTTGAGTCGCCATCACTGGATGTGTTCAAGTGTCATTTAGATGTGCTGTTGGGTGAGATGGTTTAGGGGTGAACTTGTAGTGTAGGGTCAATGGTTGGACTTGATGATCCCAAGGGTCTTTTCCAGCCTGAATTGTTCTATGATTCTAGGATTCTATGATTTAAAGTGAGATCTCCCCCAAACAATCAGAAGCCTGTCGTTATGGTCATACCGCACGAGATAATGTTGGATAATCGCTTCCTCGCAGCTCTTTGGTCAGGTTATTCCTTTACCTTGCTTTTGTAATAGTACCTACAACAGGCCAGGATTAGGTTTTTTCCCCCGTCTTGTGAGAAATTTTGGAATTAAACCCCAAACTTATTTCATGGAGTTTGCACAAATGGCTGTGTTGAAAACCTCGTGACACCTGCAATGTGAAATGTTCCAGTTCAGCTAGAATATTTTCAGAGCAAGATTTATAATAGAGGTTGTTCCCCTTCAAAAATACCTTTTAGGGTAGAATTAAAGTTCTTAAAAGCTGAATATGGATGTTTTAGCAATTTTACTCCCAGTTCCACCTATTTCCATTTTTTTTCCCTTTCCTTCTTCTTGAGCTAGAGTGTTTGGCACCCCACCCTTCTGCCATATAAAGTTTAGTTTGACTACCTCCAATATATATACACAGAGTTGCCTAAATAATACTTGATCTCCTACTACCTCATGGAGAGCTATCATTCTAGACAGTCAACATCCACAAAAAAATCAATACTTAGAAGAGACCTGCTTATGCCTGCAGATTCACTGCCCTTCTAATAATAGCCACCCGATGTTTGTGCTGCGAGGACTTGTCCACCTTCTTTGACCCACTCTCACCACGTTGTGTCGTGTACTCATGGCGCTGTTTTAATTTCAGGTAGCAGGGAAGCAGCGTTCACGTATGCCATCATCGCTGCAGGCGTAGCCCACGCCATCACGGCCGCCTGTACGCAGGGCAACCTGAGCGACTGCGGCTGCGACAAAGAAAAACAAGGACAGTACCACAAAGAGGAAGGATGGAAATGGGGAGGCTGCTCTGCCGACATCCGATACGGGATAGGGTTCGCCAAAGTGTTTGTGGATGCCCGGGAGATTAAGCAAAACGCGAGGACGCTCATGAACCTGCACAACAACGAGGCCGGGCGGAAGGTAAGTCCTTCTGCTCTTCCCCAGACGTGGCCAACTCCAGCCCGGAGTTGGAAACGGGGTGGGATCACACAAAGGGCACTTTAGCGCTAACCTCTTGTTACGGCGGGCGAGTCGGCACCTTTGCAGGTTGTGGAAGATTGTTGGACCATCCATCCGTCAAATGTTTGTCTAAATGTTGCTCTTTGCGGTTGTAAAGTGGGAAAAAAGCAAACAAACGTTTTATCTGGGTAGTCAAATGGTACTCCTGCTAAAAAGTTTGCCTGCTACTTCGTGGGTAAAAGGGATTCTCACCAGGTTCATAGAATCATAGAATCAATCATAGAATCATAGAACATTTTCAGCTGGAAGATACCTTCAAGATCATGGAGTCCAACCTTTTCCTAACCCTACCAACACCACTAACCCATGTCCCTCAGCACAACATCTACCCGTCTCTTAAACACCTCCAGGGATGGCGACTCAACCCCCTCCCTGATGGTTCAGACATGAACTTCTCACTCTTTTGAAGTGGGGTCGTGTCCAACCCCGCTGTTTAAACCTCGCTCTATGCATGAGGACTGCCTCTACAAGGAGAAAACCACTTTGGCAAAAAGACAACACATTGCCTCATCGTTCCTCCAGTCTATGGATTTGGTTTATCATTTTGCACAGCAAGATTCCCGCCCCCCACTCCCCCATTTTTTTGGGACCAGGTAGGTGAAGGCAGCTACTGCAGAACCAGTGCTCGGGAAGATAGGAATTCCTCAGCTCCCAGCACACATGTTCCCTGAGGATCCTGGGCACCCTCTGCCAAACGCAGCCATTGCAGATGCAAGACCTGACCTCAGATCCTTGCAGGCCAGGTGTCCCCCAACACACCTCAGAGGTGTCTTGGTGGTGGTGGGAGACCCTGATTTACACCGGTTAGGAACATCCAGGGATGTCTGTGTGCTCCAAACCAGCTGTGTGTGGGTTTGGTTCAGCACTGCTTGCATCTGGGAGCTGCCATCCTGCTGATCACAGAACCAACGTAAATCCTTACAGAACAAATGTAAATCCTCTCGCTTTCTTCTATTTTCCCTTTTCTGCTCTTTGCAGTCCTGTGCATTAGTAGTGATTTTAGCATTATGTTAGTGTGGCTTAGAAGCAAATGGGAGAAGAAAGTTAGGAAGAGCAGTTAATTTGTAGATACTATTTTTGCCGTAGTAATTACCTGTAGGCTCTGAGACATCTCCACTTACACTGGAGCCAAGCAGATTGTATTGAAGAAAAGCCACTTCCACCCCAAACAAAAGCCTGACCCTTCTTTTATTTAATGCTGCAGCAGTAGTTTTTTAGGTGAGATTATGGTTTTTACTCTGCCTTGCACCCCCAACGCCTGTGTTTGTCTCTCTGTAATGCAAACGTGGTACTTCAAAACATGAGCAAAATTAACACTGAATCCTGAGAATAACTCCAGGCTTAACCATTAATATTTGCTAAACAAATTATCTGAGCTCTTGATTACTTGGCTCCTGACAGCATGAAGGCGCACACTGAAAAGCGTGGTAAAACACCAAGTCTGCTCTGCTATCCATGTGCAAATCCGCTGAAATGAAAAATAGCAGTGGAGTTTCACCTTTGTGGGAAACTTACTCTCTGGCAATGTCTGCTTTTGTTCACCAATAAATGATGCCCGAGAAATGATGCACCAGCCAACAGAGGATTGCAAACACAGATGGAACTGGCTACTCTAGAACATTTTTACCAATGCAAAGCGTAGATACAGACAAAGAGGCTGCATTTTTTTTGTCTCCATTATCACCTAGGTATGGACCAAGGGTAGAGGAGGAGAGCTATTGGTCCTGGAGCTGGCCTGTGAGAAGGCAAAGCATTCAGCAGGCTCTTCTCGCAGACGTGAGCTCCTTGTGTTTCTCACCTATACGTGCACAATTTGCTGTCCTAAAAGATTGTGCCTGGAAGATTCAGCTCTGCGCATTGTTATCTGGGAGAACAGTGGTGCGTGCTATCTCTGGAGATCTGCCATTTCTCCAGCAGGCTCAGGAACTGTTCTGATCTGGAGATATTTCTACGCTTCTTCCTGCATCCCTCACAGAGCAAAATTACTGATCTTTGTTCGAACAAATCTCTGCGAGAAGTCTTCAGGGGAAAGAAAGAGTAACATGACTGAGAAAAGGCGTGTTGCTCCACCGTCCTGTACAGAGTGAATGAATGATGTTTTTGCTAGAGAGATTTCTTTCAGGCTTATGTGAAAGATCACGGTATTTAAACACAATTGGCAGAGGGAGGCCATGACGGGTATTTGGCAAGCCAGGTCTCTCACAACCTACCCCTTTCACAACAAAGATCGCCTTGTTTTGAGGTGGTGCTCTCCCTTTTGGAGCAATATGGATATTATCAGCCTCCACACAATCTATTCTTGGTGGCTTTCCTCTGGGCTACAAATACTTGTCTAGTTTTACTCGCCTGTGTGTACGTTTGGGATGATATTTATGCACCTAGGAGACAGACTGGCACCTTCCAGGAGTAAAATAGATATTCAATTCTTATCGATTTGTTATCTTCACCTGTAGGAACCACTACACTGTTCAAAAGTTTGTCCCCTCTACTTCTCTGGTCTTGCAGTGCAAAACTGCTCTGAGTGCTGTGCCCACCCCACAAGGTGCTCACAAATGACCTGTGAAAAGGGCCTTCTTTAGGATGACTCCAGCTGCAGGCACTTCAGGATGCACTAGTTGTCCTCTTAAGAATCACTGTGAAGTTCACCTGTTCCATCCTGGCGAGCAAGAGGTGACAGACTTTGCAGACAGGAAACTGTTAGTAGGACCACAGGGTATATCACAGAATCACAGAATGTTGGGGTTGGAAGGGACCCCTAGAGCTCTCCCAGTGCCACCCCCTGCCAGAGCAGGGTCACCCAGGGCAGGTCCCACAGGAACACGTCCAGGCGGGTTTGAACATCTCTGGAGCAGGAGACTCCACACCCTCTCTGGGCAGCCTGGGCCAGGGCTCCGGCACCTGCACAGGGAAAAAGTTGTTCCTAGTGTTTTTGTGGAACCTCCTGTGTTCCAGCTTGCATCCATTGCCCCTTGTCCTATCAACAGAGAACCACCAGGGAAAGCCTGATCTAGACTTTTTGGAGATCTAAGTCCAAGACCTTCCACCTTTCCATAGTCTGGTTTCACCTAGGCTAACATCTCTCTGCTTCCTGCCATGGCAACAACAGTTTCCCTTAACCTACCAAGCACACGACTCCAACAGAGCAGTGGTGTGACTGTCAGTCAGCTCTTCCTAGAAGTAAATGAGAACTGACTGTGTCAGATGCGGAGGGTCTTAGAGGTCATGGGTGGCAAGCACCCACCTTCCTTTTCCCTGGCAGCCCTCAAACATCGCACGCGTTCGAAAAACACCGGCATGCACACCCAGGATGCAGTGAGCAGCTCTCCCGTCAGCGTGTGTGAGGCAGCTGCACTTCCAGCTGCTCTGGTGCTGCAAACCAACGCCAGCGAGGCCAGTGGTTCGTGCAGAAGGAGCACCCGCAATGCCTCAGCCTTACTGCTAAGGGCCAGGGCTCCAGCTCTCTGTTTCTCTCTCCGTCTTGGCGACAAAACCAGCAGGACTCGGTTTTGCAGGACATGGGCACAACTCCAAAGTTCCCGGGCTACTTGGAAGGGCAGGGGCAGAGTTCAAAAGTGGGGTCACATACACCCTTACCACACTGGCCCCAAGCAGCCCGAGGAGCCCCGTGTCATTTGTCAAACCTACCAGAGAGCAGCTATTTCTGACCTCCAGAAACAGAGTTTAGGGTGTCTTTCCTCTTTGAATTAGTGTTTCCTGAAGTGCTGATTCACTGCAGGAAGAAGCAAGCGGTACAGGGAGAACAGGAGGAGAATTCATAACAGCTGGGTCAGAAGAGACAGATAAAACTTGCATTAATTTAAAGGCATAATCCTGGTTCGCCCTGCAAACTTCCATGCGAGGGGTTATAATCGCAAGACTGAGTTGTCTGTTAGCAAAATTGTCTCCTCAAGTACAAAGTTAATTAAATTGCTCTAGTACAGTAACGTACATCTGAGAGATAGTTATGCTTCAGGATAAAAAAAAGTACAATAATCTTATTCTCCAAGTTATCCTGCTAAAAAAATAGCAAAATACGTAGAAACATTCTGTGTATTTTGCCTGTAAACTTTTCATTTTGACAGCATGGCGAGGTACGTGACCAGGTTGCTGTCTCCTCTCTTTTTCTCTGTGACATTGAAATTCCACGAATCGCGTCTTGCATCAGCGTTACATCATATTAAGCATAATGCAATATTATGAGTCATTGTTATAAATCATGGGCACAGGCTGCATTAGAAGGCTTTTGCAATTCAAGAGCACATCAAGGTGGATTTTTATTCAGCTTTTCTCTTTGGAGGCATACGTAGGTGCGCTGTCTCTCCAAAGCATCTTCATCCTCTGAATCCCCAGCATTTCAGTGTTCCCTACAGCTTGTAGCAGAAGAGCAGTACATGCCTCACAGAGTTGCTGCAAATATCAAGGAAAGCCACGAGAAGCCCGAAGGTGTTTCTGAAGTGGATCATGCAACAATCATCACAGACCAAAGCATTTAGTATTTTGTCCTTTAGGGAAAACTGTAATAACATTGAAGTGAGACACCAGCATTTGGAAAGCACGGAGTTCAGGAGATCTCCCAAGCTCCTCTGCAACATCTACACCCCTTTACTTGCTAGCATCTCTGGCCTCAGGGGGAGATGGCTGCCATGTAACTTTCCTGAACTTGTCGCAGTTCTTGCATAGTGCGCAACCACCACATCACTGCAGGAATTTATCTATCCTCTAGAGGAGACAGCTATTTCTACTTCTTTCAAGGTACCTTCTGCTTTAACTAGCCTGTTAGCCTGACTGCAAGAGGCGACATAGAACACAAGCTTGTGCGGATGAAAGACTTGAAAGGCTGTAAGCATCCAGCGTGCTGCTAGAAAAGAGACAAGACTAATAAAACTGGCTGCCAAACGATT